ATATATATATATATATTATTTGACTGGAAAATTATTTTATTTTATTTTTCTCAAAGAATTGGTCGAATTTTAGAGTGAAATAAGTTCAATTCTGTTGATTTTCACATGAACATGTGATTCCTCAAAAAAAAAAAAATTATAGGAACATTATGACATGTCCGCATGCACAAAAAAAATGGAAGAATTATATATATCCTTCTTGAGTCGGCCATAGGAGAAATAAGCCTTCCTTAAACTATGTTAACCATGATATAATTTCTCTTTTAATTTAAAATATTTGAGAAATTTTAGAGGATATAATTTAATTAATTGAAAAGATCTTATAATTAGAAAAAATAATATATATTTAAAATTTTAATTTAAAGAAAAATTTAATAACAATCAATTATATATGATATATAAAGACTATACTAATTAGTAACAATACAGTTAAGACTATCTAATTTAATAATAGTTAAGCATATGATCCTTGAATTAGCAATCGGAGGCATAAAAGCCTTCCTGAAACTATATATATGCAATAGACAATTTAGGCCCTCAACTAACTAAAATTTCTCTATTAACCTATTGCAGCGTCTAATATCGAAATTAAGACAGTTTGAAGCAAAAGGAGAAAAGCGACTAAATATAAAATTAGAGAATGAGGAGGCAGTGTATTCGAAGGAAGCAAAGGAGAGTCATCTATTAGTAGCCACACTGATCGCAACCGTAAGTTTTGCAGCTGGGATTACCCTTCCAGGAGGTACCATACAAGAGGGGGATCATAAAGGTACCCCAATTTTGGGGCAAAGAGCCTCCTTCAAAGCATTCATTATATCAAACGCTCTAGCGATGGTTTTTGCAATTTCTGCAGCTTCTATACATCTTTCCATACCACTCACTAAATCCAAATTCAAGGATCATTTTTTAACTCAATATGCCCACGCGTTCACTTTAGTCGCGTTACTAGCCATGATTGTCGCATTCGCTACCGGCACGTATGTCGTATTGGGACCTTCCCCTCTTTGTATTGCAATTATCACTATTGCATTGTCCTATTTTTGTTCTAGCCGTGTTATTGGAGAAACTTTTATTAAACTTGGCGGCGTGAAAACCAGGGTAGATCCAAACAATTTTTCCAAGGATAATGTCAGAATAAAAGAAGCCTTGGAAGCTTGAAGAAAGCTTGAAGAGGAATAAAATAAAATAAAGGTCTGATTGAGGACAAAAAGGTATCTAGAAGCAAGCAATATCCTGGAAAAGCAGTGCAGACTTATTATAGAAGTTTGACATAAATTTGATTGGTTAGGTTAGAGAATTATTTCCTATGCAATTGTATTTTCTCTAATCAAGGGACATATTTAGTTTGAACTCTATGCTAAGTTTGCTACATTAAGAAAAGTGATAGTCCAATTTAATTTGTTGAAAGTTATTTAAACAAATTTTTTACTCTGTTTTCCTTAAATCATGTCTACTCCTTTGCTTTCATTTAATTATTTATGCACCTTCCTTATGTTAATAAAACAATCCATTTCATATTAATTAATTGTGCCAAAGTTAAAATTATCAAGTTTAAATATCTTTCTGACTAAATAAAATATTATAGTTTTATCGTTTTGCTTTTTCATTTTTAAAATTTAACAAATTAATCTTTATAATTTTTCAGTTATTTCTTCGTTTGTTTTTTTATCATCATTTAGATGCTTATCGTTTGTTTTATGTAGAGATTTTATTATAAAATCATAATATTTTAAGAGACAAAATTCCTATTTAAACATGATAATTATCTATTCTTTTCTTTATCTTTTTAGTATGGTTATGTATTATTTTGGTATTTTTTAAACTAATTACGTTTATTCATTTTTAAAAGATTAATTAATAACTTGGCCTGTACCTCCATCAATTTTCCGCTTTAATTTTTATACCTAATTATATATATATATATATATATATATATATATATTATAGTTCTTATATAAAAAAATTATGGTTTATTTTAGTCTTTGTTACTTATCTAACAGTATAAAATTATCATAAAAGAGAGATAATGTCTAAAATGTAAATTAGAAAATTACTTATATATGGACTAAAATGTAGAGTTTTAAATATATGAGCTAAAACAAAAAAATATACAACTAAATGATTAACTATTTTTTTTAAAGAATATAATAAATTTAGTTCTTCCATTTATTTTATAATCATGTACTTAAAAAAAAGCATATTAATTTGTATTTGAGAGATTATAATAGATTTGGCATATAAAATAATTTTAAAAGCTATATATAAAAAATTTAATGAAAAATTAATAAAATTTTAAGGATTTTGTTGAACGTGAAATTAGCTAGGATTTAAATGAAATTTTTGGGATTATAAGAGAAAATTTAAAATTTTGGCTAATGGACTTAATTTGAAAAAAAAAAATGCATAAAACAATTTAACATATTTAATTTGTAAATGTTTTGAAAATGAAAAAAAAAAGATTTTTGATAAATTTATGTATAAAAGAAATGATGGAAGCAACGCATTACTTAATTTTAAAATTAGAGAAATTTAATTTGCTCTAAAAAAAAAACTAAAATTACACAGGGTATAAAGTAAAAAGATTAAAAATAAAATTAAGCCTAATATTCATTAATTTAAGGAATATACTAGCTAATTACCCATGCGTGTGTATGGGTTGAGTTGGTTTCGTATTATTATATATATTTTTTTAGTAAGAATTAAAAGTTAATAAAAATTTAAAAAATTAATAAAAAGGATAATCGTGAAAATGGGGACATAGATAGAAGAATTTAATTAACAATCTAGTACACATCAAAATAAAAAGATATAAAACATTTTATATTATATGATTAGATAACAATTTTTCATGAAAATACTTTTAACATTCTCATTTGTTGATGTCTTTATGAAATACAACTAATAAGTCTCAAAGTGGTATAAATGTAATCAAAAGTATTTAATTGAAGAATACAACTAATGAGTCATAAAAGTGTTGTATATGTCTGCATGTAATAAATATGCATGTATTCTTCAATCAATTACATGTGAAAATTGTTGTTTATCCTCTATCAATGTAGCAACTGCACAAAAAGTTAAAAAAATTAGTAATTATAGGTTTGATGTGATAAAGTTTGATATGGTTAAAAATTTATATAAATTTGGTACTCTCAATGTTTGGTTCCATTGTATCTAGTCTGATATAAGACCTAGAAGCATAGTATTAAAGATGCAAAAGTATCGTATAACAATATTTGTACATATGACATCAAATGCTCCTATATTCACAAATTGTAATTTGTGTAATTAAGTTTTACAATTGAACCATGCAACGTATATTTTGAGTATTTAAATATCAAAAAAATAAAAATGTATCTATATATAGAAATTTTAAAAGAACAACTACAATTGAAAAGTTATACATGTATATGATTTCTTACCTATTAAAGGTTTTGCAACATTTTTAAAGGTTCTAGAAGACCTCCTTAAAAACAACATTAGTAATAGACATCAATGATTTATTTTCTTTGTCATGAATCAAGATCTTCAGCCCCTGTTTGCTTTGAACTCTAGAAATTGCAACATATATATAATTGTCCATGAATAAACACTGGCCTAGATAAGTATAATCCAACATTTGCTAACGATTGACCTTGAGACTTATTAATTGTCATTGCATAGGAAACAATGATTGGAAATTGTCTCCTAATCAAATTAAAAGGCCATGGAGATTATGATGGAGACATAAACATTTTGTTGGGGAGTATAGACACAACTTGTTTGATGAAGGATTCCTTTAGAAGAATAAAATTCTTTGTGAGAAAATTCAGGTCCATTATCGAAGCGAATGCATTTAATGGTGATATTAAATTGATTTTCAATTAAATTAACAAAATGATGAATATGTGTTCTTACTTCCCCCTTTAGATTTTAATAAAACTATCCATGTGTAACGACTATAGTCATCCACAATAGTTAGAGAGTATTTGTGACCATGAACGGATGATTGAGAAAAGAGGCCCCAAATATCCATATGAAGCAAATCAAAAATATTGGAAGCTCTATTAATACTTGAAGAATATGACAATTTTTGTTGTTTAGCTAAGTGACAAATATCACAATTTTCTTCAATATGTTTTGAAATAAAAGGAGAATTAGAATGAAGAACATTAAGACGATTTCCAGAAAGGTGTCCTAATCTAAAATGCCAAAGGTGGAGTGGGTGATGGGTGGAGTGGAAAAGTTATTGATGTAGGAGACTTTAGGGAATGTATAACTAACATCCTTGTTGAACTCCAAGTGGTATAATCCATGCTTCAATTTAGCCAAACCAATCATCTTCAATGACTTCATTTCCTGTATTTGACAATAAGAGTTAGAAAAGGTGAGAATATATTTAAGAGAAGATAAAAGTTTGGAGATTGAAAAAAGGTCAACTTGAAATTTGGGACATAAAGAACATCATGAATAATGAATTGTGGTGATAATTGAACGGTGACTGAAATGTGAGCAATAACCTTAGAACCATTTGGCAAGTTGATATGTACATGTTTGATTTTTGAAAAATTCAAATAATTGTCAAAAGAACAAGTGATATAATCAGTTGTCCCATAGTCAATTATCCAAGAAATAGTATTAGGTGTGTGGGGGACAAAAACATTAGGGTCTGTGTGTGTATTGGCCAAAAAACGTGATGATGTGGTGGTGCATAATGCAAAATGAATACCAAAACCCATATTGAGTGAGGAGTCAGATGGATTGGTTTTGGGCACTTGACTGAGGTTGGCATGTTTGGGCTGAGTGGAGATTGATGGTTGGTTACTATCAGGGTTGAGGTGTTTGAGGTTAGCAGAAAAACACATAGAAGGGGGGGTTGAATATGTGTGCGTGTGAACAAGGGTATTTTTATAAACATCTTTGCAATAGTAATATTCTTCATCTAATGTACTTTTAGATGTCAGACGGTTATGCAAAATTTGCTTAACACAAGCTCATTGCGTCTGAAAGATTTTATCATCTACTAGGAAAATGATTTATAATGATAATTAAAGTTATTGCATTTTCCTTTTTGAAGATAGTTTAATTTAAGGATAAGACGTAGATAAAACTTTTCAATATGATATGTTTGTTAAACAAAATTTGCGTCTTCATCTGAAAAATTGTTTTAAAGAGGAATAGACAGTGGATGAAGATTTTTAATATGATTTATCAATTAAGAAGAGTTTGCGTCTGAAATATAAATAAAACAATGTAATTATTTTATACTGGTTCGCTCAACTGGCTACGTCTAGTCTCCTTCAACTTGAAGGGTTCCACTAGATATGAAATGAAGAACATTGAATATTATCATCCACTCCTGGACCTGAGTATTCTCGACCACTCCTAGCCTTGAGTATTCTCGACCACTCATGGCCTGTCAACTTTACTCACCAACGCTAGTATTCTTAAATCACTTCTGGTTCTCCAAGTATTCTCGACCACTCCTAGCCTGCCAGCTTCGCTCACCAGTGCTAGTATTCTTAAACAACTTCTGGCTCTCCAAGTATTCTCGCCCACTCTTGGCCCGTCGGCTTCACTCACCTACGCTAGTATATTCTTCTCAGCCACTTCTGCCTAGCAGTGAATATTATTTGACAAGCCCCTCCAGGCTTTACAAGTATTCTTTTCCTAGCCTCTTCAGGCTTTACAATGTTGGCTAGACAATTTTGGTTTAAGTGCATGCATAATTCTCACATAGAGGATTGAGAATTTTCTACACTCACTAAGGTTTGCTACCTTAGTTTTACAGAGACTTGTGTTTGAGTGTTTGGGTTACTGTCATGGAGATGATACATAGGTTTACAACACTCACTAAGGTTTAGTACATCACTGACATTTCGAACACTTTAGTCTACAGAGATAAAAATACAATATTACATTGTACATATGACTATGTATGCTCATCTCTGGTCTTTGTCTCGTGAGCTTGATATCACTCTTTTTATTCCAATCAAAAAGCCAACCTTTTAAGGTTTGAAGTAGTGATATATATATATTATATATATATATATATATTCTTGTAGAATCTGTCCGTTGCTAAATTTTGAATATATCCGTTGACGGGGAGCTTCCCGTTGCATATGTCCGTTGAAGCTAATATAGTCGTTCATGACTAATTTGATCATTTCATTTAATGAATTTGA